GGCGTGGCTGACTCTTAACTTTTCTAAAGAATATCTCTTTGGATTTGAGACTTTAGTCTTTGCAACTTTACAGATCTTCTTTATGCACCAAGAGCTTGTAACACTTCAAAGAAAAAGGAAAAATTTAAAATCGCATCATATGCGATATCATATTTAGTCATATTTGCGCTGTTTTATTTTTGTAATATCGATTATTTTATCATCCAACTTTTTGAGGAGACACTGCCTCCCTTGCCTCCTCGGAGGAAATGCCCCTGACCTGTGTATCCTCGCTCATAGCTCCTCAGGAAGCCTCCTCACTCCTCGATACTCGCCTCCTCGCAGTGCAATTAGAGAATTGATATGTCCTACAAGATGGCTGAGCTAGATCGGTTTCCGGGTCATAGTATAGAGGACGGAGGAACGAGGAAACGAGGAGGGATATTGAGAAGCACCCTATGCGCTTAGATCGTTCAAATAGGGCCCCAAGTGTTGCATCAGCTGACTTGAAACTGTGTCACACTTGCCCCACACTAGCAGGCCTTCCGGCCTTCAGACCTTTTCACTTATTATAAAGTAAGCAGACAAGGTGACTCCCAAGAAACTTCAGAGATTGAATAATCTTGATTTACTATTTTCATCTGCACCACTGTCTTTTTTGCCTTTTCATAAAAATTTATTAGCTTGAGTGAGATGCAAGTTAAAGTTTTAATGCATCCTAGCATATGACAGTTGTCTTGAAATTGATACATCAAAAAGGCGGAAGACTTAAATTATGTCATGCTATAAAGTAAAGCATAATAATGGGCATGGAAATTTGCACATATTGTACATATTGTTTTACATGACACTGATTTTAGTGTTATTTTCTATCTGATAAAAGGAGTTTTTATCAACAGCTGATCTAAGAAAAACTGAATCAACGCAGTTTGATATTAATGAAAGTATACACTTCAGGCTTCAAAACCAGACAAGATTTCATTTGTTTTACATTCAAAAAACAATTTAACTTTGCATTAATAATATTACAAATACTACATACTACAAACTTTACATAAACTGCATATAATTATGATAAACTTTCATAAAAGCAACAGTCTACAATAGTTATATTGTAGTTATAGACATGTTCAGACTCTCACAAAAACCACCATTCTATACAAGCCGAGCACATGCGGACACTGACAATACAGAAATCAAACTAAATGGGCATCCACAACAGAATTGCAGTGGTAATCAAAAGAAATGTTCTTACATTAGTGTTAAAGTAAACATGTCCTGATCTGGTGATGCGTGCATTCCTGCCATTTCTCAGTACAAAGAGGACTGAAGAGAAGTTTGGGTCTCTGACTCCATCCCTGTGGTTAAAAATGAATGAAAATAAATATAAACTGATAGGAAACAGTGTTTGTTTACTTAGTACTGATGCACTTCCCCTTCAAATAAATGTCTGTTTATAAATGAATTCTATCGATCACTTCCGTGTAGGCTAGTAAATGGAATATTATAAGCAATAAAAATAACCATTTTAAAATCTGTAAAAACATGTCAAATGTTTACCTGTGTCGGAACTCTTCATTGTAGATGTTTTTGAGAATGGTTCTATCAGTAATTGATCTCCTTTTGCTTTCCGCCAGAAATTCTATAAAGTCAAATCCAACGGCACGCAAATCATCCTTAGAGAGCTGATTTTTTCTGTTTTTCCTGTTCATGTTTCTTAGCTCTGGTATCGTGAGCTCTGTGGTGATGTGCAGATGTCAGATCAGTTATGATCTACACTGCCTTTCATGAAACAAGTGCAGCTGTTTCTGCGGAAGAGGTTAACAACGGAAGAAACGAAACTTATGATCTTCTACGGTTGAATTGGTCTTCTACCGATATAAAGTTGGTTCGACGTTTGATATTAGACAGATATTCAGCCGCGAAAAAAATCAATAAACTCTTAGTGGATAAGTATAATTGTATAAAAATGGCTTATCTGAAAAGCATTAGAACGTAGAACTGAACACACATCGCAGTTACTTTGTTTTACTCCTCCTCGATATGTTGCAACGCATAAAGTCTCTAGCAGCAGCGAGCTAGCGCTTAGGCCAGCTAGGGACCGTCTACAAAGTACACGTATAGGATAAAACGATTAATGTTTTCCCACCGGAATGTTTTTTAGAATTAACAAAACAAGAGCAATCTGTGCACCAAGGTCTTTGAAAGATATAAAGACAAACACTTATAACGCTCACTTGAATTTAAATAAGAAATATTGTAAACAAGATATGTGATAGTGGTTATTATTATATTATTACTATTAATAAATATTTTAATAAAAGAAAAACAATATTAAACATCATTATCATTCCATAATCCAGTGGTTATGCAGTGGGCTGATTCCAGGTCCTTGTGAGAACATTTTAATGTTCGTTGTTTTCACAGAAGTATGACACCAAAAAAGTACACGCTATTGAAATTAAAACCAATAAATTAATTAATTTAAGATAAATACACTCTTCTGTATCAACCTCATGGCGTGTCTTGTTACTGTTTTTATAAGAACATTTGTTTTAGTCACAGAACTATAATAGAAAACATGCTATTGAAATTCAACAATTAAGATAAAGCTGGCAAATTGTTTTGCAGTTGTTTTGACTTGAATTTGAACATCTAATTTTTAACAAATTAATTTATAAGACACACAGTTTTATTACACAACTTCAATGGGTGTGTCTTGTTACAGATTAAACAAACGTTTTGATGGTGGTTTTAGCCACATAACTATAATTGAACGAATACTATAGAAAATTAAATTAATACATAATTTCGTTTAAAATAAATACAATATTCTACCTCAGCTTCAAAGGCTGTGTCTTGTTACAGATTTCTTAAAGATTTCTTATTTTGCAGTAGTTTTCATTGTCAAAAGAGATGCAGAGGTCACGATATTGACATTCAAAAATCACTTGCGAAACCTTCCAAAGAGTCTCCAGTATTACTGCCCCCTAGAGGAAGATACTGCAGTTGTTTTGATTGAGTTTGACATTCAAACCTTTAATAAATTAATTTAAAATGCATACAGTTTTCCATCTCAACTTCAAATGGTGTGTCTTGTTAATTGGGCCTAAAAGAGCATTTCTATGCAGGGTTTACTCTCATTTGTAAATCAGGATGCATGCAATTGAATTGAATTCAAATCCGTTAATACATTCATTTAAAATCAATAGCCTACAGTCTTCTATTTCAACTTCAAAAGGTGTGTCTTGTTTCTGATTCCTAAATGAACATTTAAATTCAGATTTTACTCTCATATGTTAATAAATTAATTTAAATGTATGCAGTTTTCCATCACAACTTCAAAAGCTGTCTTGTTACTGGCTTCTAGAAGAATATTTTAATGTTGGTTTTATTCACCGAATTATGAGAACACATGCAATTTAAACTGAATAGCCAATTAAATTGATTATTAAGCTGATTAACCAATACATCAATTAGTTAAAAATTAAATTTTCGAGCTCATTTCCAAAGGGTCTGTTTTGTTTCTTTAAAACACTTTAATGTTTTGTAAGAGGGATCACACAAAATGCATGTTATTTTTTTTTAGAACTGTCCTGAGTAAGATATTTTGCATCAAAGATGTTTACATATAGTCCACAAGACAAAATAATAGCTGAATTATGTCAGAAGCTTCAGAAGAAAGTCTGGTCAGGTGCTCGGAGAGGTAACTGCGCTCTCTGTTGGTCAAAGGGAGCTGCACTCCAAAACAGCAATTCTTCAAAAGTAACTTACTTACTTAGGGCGTATTACAGAAATATCCTAACTTTAAAATCTTATCTTATCTAACAGAAACCTCCTAACTAAAGACCTAAAAATTGTATTAACTTTACTGTATTAACCCCACAATCCGCTTACAATTAAGCTGTCCAACATTTTTTTCTTCACAGACACGGCTGTCTTTGTCTTCATGAGTGAGTGAAGGTGAAAACTTACCAAATAGTATCGGCTTTGCCTTTTCTATCGAACTTATCCAAGTTTAAATTTCCGCGGCACTGAAATTAAAAGCTCGCCGGTTTTGTTTATCCATTTTGTTTAGCTTACCTCAGCAGCTCGCGCAGTGTTGGTTGCTTGGTAACAGACCTGAGACTGGATTGTCGAACTTGATCATGCAATTTAAGATTTTAGGGATAAGAAGAATTTTAAGAATTAAGAATTTAATTTAACGTATCATATCTTAAGTTAAGAAACATTCTGCAATACGCCCAGGTTTCCAGGCTCGATTTTGATTTATATGGGCATACATTTATATTGACCACTGTGCTTATTTTATTACATATTCTCTCTGAATTATTATACAGTGTGCCGTGCGGTGTTTCAGACCGGACCAAACAGGTGACTCGTGTTTTTGAACTATTCAAAAGAACCGACTTATGACGATTCACTAAAAAAAGAACCGATTCGTTTGTTGAACAAGAGTCGTTGGTTCGTATAGGTCAGGGGTAGGCAAGTTCGGTCCTAGAGAGCCGCAGTCCTGCAGAGTTCAGCTCCAACCCTAATCAAACACACCTGAACAAGCTAATCTATCTCTTCAGGATTACTAAGGCTATAGGCAGGTGAGTTTTTTTTTCAGGGTTGGAGCTGAACTCTGCAGGACTACGGCTCTCTAGGACCGAACTTGCCTACCCCTGGTATAGGTCTACTCTGGAACTCTTTTGCGTGCATTTCGCGGAACATTGCCTTAATTATTGCATCCCATTCAAAGGAGACTGGAAACTTACATTGTAAGGTAAAATACCATTTTATTTTGAAAAGTGGTACAGCAAACACTGATATAGGCTACTTACAGAAAATTATTGACAAAAACCTGTATTTCCCCTCCTGTGTGTCTATGGCATTTTCGGCCTTGGCAGATTCAGGTTGATATAACAATAACAACAACAATAATACTAATAATGATAATAATAATTTATAAGCATAAATGGGTGTAAAGTTATCAGTATTCGGCAGTATTAATATAATAGCCCCTATCTAAGAGATAGAAAGACAAAAAAAACTTTTCAGCTACTGATATGTGTCAAGATGCTACTGTGTTGGAGCGCGGAGCGAGGAGACCAGGAGTAATAACCAGACTTTAATAGCATTCAGGTAACCAGGAAAACACATGTAGCAGAGGATGTAGACATATGCAGACATTCACAATACCCGACAACCAAACTCAGAACAGGGCTCACTATAGGCGTTTCGTCCAGACGGATCGGGTGTTTTGGGAGAGTGAAACCGATATTTTTTTGAAACCGGGTCCCAGAGTGGATAAATCTGAAAACGCCACCCTTGCGTTTTCGTGTGGACAGCGAATCCGTATATTTTCTGAAACTATGACGTCATCAGCCCACGTCTCGCCCCTAGTCAGACACCGCTACGTCACGTAACAGCAACAAAAACATGAACAAACACTGAACGATTGTCTTTTTATTAACTAACATTAACACAGATTAATAAATGTACGTATGGACGCAGATATTTCTTGAGACGAGAGGGAAAAAAAGATCGGATAGGGAAAGCTCTGGCTTCGTGTGGACGTATCAATACACAGGACTAAAGGATGGGATGACGAGACACACCTGGAACTAATGAAACAATAAACATAATTAGAACAGGAACAGGAAGAACCAAATAAGGGCATGGAAACACATGGGGCGTAAAACACACACAAAACACGGAACAGAGTCTGACATTATGACTGGAGCCTTTTTAAACAGTGTAAACATTTTTTTGAGGTAATATATATATATATAATGTTTAAGGAAAAATAAGTGCATTATTAACTGCAAAATTATATTTTAATTTGCTTTAAACCGGCATGAATGGATGTATTGCTCATATCAAACACTAGATGTCAGCCTTAACCTTTTTTTTTCAATAATGGCCAAAAGTCTCTTGTAAATCAAATTCAATTTTATCATTAAATAGAGTTGACTGAATATTTGAACATTCATATTATATAGTCAAATTTACATTTAGCGGGTCTAATATAAATGTTAACAATCTGACCAGTTAAAATAAGTATCTGTATCTACTGTAGTATTTTTTTAAAATTCTCTAACCCCTACACACTCTCTGCCTCTCACTGTGAGATAAAGGTGATATGGGTAGATGATGTTAAGAGTGTGTCTGTCTGTGGTAAAGAGGCTGCTTGAGGTTCTTATCAGTTCCTGCTTTTGCCTCTTATGACCCAGACAGACTGGAGAGCCCCTCTTCAGCTGCCTGCCCTCCCCAGGATGAGTGCACCCTGCCGGGCCAACACTCCATCGTTAGACCCTTATCTTCACCTGTGGAGGAATTCTCCAGCCATATAAGCCGTTCTCTTACTACTGTGTGTACAACAGATGAGGCCAAGTGTGCTATAGCCAGCGTTTGTGTGCGTGTGTATGCTTGTGTGTGTGTGTGTGTGTGTAGGATAGATGAAGTCTAAATTTGTGGTTGTGTATGTAAGTAGTTTGCATGAAGGGTGTGTGTCTGTCTTTGGTCTCTTTCTCTGAAAAGATGTTAAAGCTTCTCATCTCTTTCTGGCTTTGATGCTTTAAGACTCCATTTTTATAGACTGTTTGGACTGATAATCTCTCTGTTTACAAGCTTTACCTTTATTTACAGCGCTGTTTACGAGCTATTCTTCCTCTGAGTATTGGGAAAGAGAGCAGGAAGGAGGAGGGAGATTGGGAGATGAGAGGAAAGGAAAGAGTGTTTGTTAAGGAATGCAAAGTGGTGATGGGCAGGTTATGGTGTCTATGTGTGTGTGAGTGAATGTGTATTGTAGATTGTAAAACTAGGAAAGTCATGAGAAGGTTAAGAGCCATGCTGTACTTCTCCCCAAAAAAGGAGTCCCGTTTAGTCTCTAGTCTCTTTTCCGTATAACTCTTTCAGTGGCTGGAGCTGATCCCTTTGTTGTATAATTAAAACTTTATTCATCATATAGTGACATGAGCTGATCCCTTTCTCAGTGATAGTGATTTAAGCTGAGCTGTCTCCTTGAGCTAATCACCTTTTCAGTAGAGTGGTTTGAGCTGATCACCTTTTCAATATGATGAAGATCCAAACGTAGGTTCAGG